TTTAATTATTAAGATGTAATTCTAAACGTATAATGTATTTCCCAGTGTTTCGGCGTCAGGAGTGACTCAAGAAGGCACTGGAATGTACATACGGCAAATTGACAGAAATGCTATCCAAATCCAGGCAAGCAAAGATGGTCAGAAACAAGAGCTAATGACGAATAAAGTGCAAAGCACAGCACAAAATGTACAAATGATAACAGTTCCTCACGGGATGACCGTGCTTCAAAATCCACTCAACATAAGCCAAATGCCGGTGCTTGGACAGCCAAATAGTCAAGTGTATATGATTCCTGCTAACCATCCGAATATTGTACAAACCGGAGGTTTACCACCAGGTTTACTAGGTCAACAAGTGCTGCAACCTGGGCAAAACGTAACTGTAATGCAACCCAATCAATTGGGAGTTCCTGGCGGAGTACAATACAACGTGCCAATAATGCCTATGAATGTACCACCAAACTCTCATTACATGCCGAGTATCAATTTGAACACGCAGCTATCTACGCAGCAAATTAATGCCGCCTTAGTAGGGCAGCAATTAAATAATCCAAACTTAGGGACAATCCCTATTGTCCAGGCTCCCATGAACAACCCGCCACCTTCATCACCTATGACCAACCCACCTCAGATACCAATTACACAACCACCACCTGTGCAACAAATTGTTCCTCAAAATTCTTTTATCAATCCTACGCCAACTTCACAGTACGCTGGGATGCCTCCACAATATATGCAGATGCAGCCTAATTCTGGAACAATATCGGTACAGGGAAGTAATCAAAACATTCAATACAGTCTACCTAGCAATCAAACAGCTAACTCTACAAACAACGGCAGTGGCCAAAGCAGCACTACCAGTGATAGTGACACAAATGGGGCAAGCAATCAAGCTAACTATATCTCTTCGTCATCACAAGACAGTGGATATCTGTCAAATGCAAACACGCAAAATCCAACACAGCAAAATTTCGCCAATGATGGAACAAATCCACAAAATACAGGGTTCACGTCAAACCCACCAGTCACTCAAGCGAATTATGGAAGTAATGGAAACAATCAAACTCAGGGATATGTAAACCAGACGACAACAAATCAGCCTCCGTCTGCTGATTACAATCCAACAAATGCTTCCAGCCAGACATCAAATCAAAACTATTCCAATGCACAGAGTGCACCTAATGCGCAAAATCAATCACAGCCTAATTTCCCTGCGTCGACAATGCAAACTCCCAACCAACCTTATCCTAACATGCAGAGCATGGGATACCCACCCAATCAAAACCCTTACCCCAATGCAACTGGTCAAAACTTGGCAGCTTACGCGAATAACCAATATCAGTATCAAACTAGACCATGGGTCAGACCACGGTATGGGTCTCCACAAGGGTCCCCGTATCCATCTAGCGGTGTGCCATCAAATGGTCCGCCAATGCCAGTTCCTCCTCCTTCGGGCAACTATAATTATTGGCAGGATAGTTGATTCGATCCTCTCGACGGATTCTTAGAGACTTCTTAGTGCTTATCAGTACTTCTACTTACAAAATAATTTAGGATCGGAACATAATTTACTCGTCGTATAGTGTCGTTTGTTTGTAGATAAAACTTATGTAAAATCAACAGTTAGAAAAATGCTTTATTTCGTTGTAAGATAGAATAAGAGACTGCTACATTGTGTACAAGACATTTATAAAATGTAAAAAGAATAAAAATCTATAGTTAAATATATAATTGATATTTCGTAAATGTAACAAGCCTTTTATTTATACGTTCATTGACCTACCAATAATTGGACGTAATTAAACAAAAAGGATCCAAAAAGTGTAAGTTGAAAAGTGTTTCTCACTCTTGTTTTATTTTAAAAACTTATAATGTGATGTAACTCCAGAGATATTTATTTATTATTATTTTTTGCTGTTCAAAAATGTTAGACTTTAGGAACCGTTTAGTACAGTCAAGAGCACGTCAAGCTTGACACTTTGTACTTTGGATCGTTCTTTTCGTAAGCGGCATAGAGTTGGATTTAAATCTTAAGTATCAATCTTGACGTGCTCTTGACCTTGTGGTTTCCAATTTTTTTTTATCCTCTAAGCCTTAGAATATTTCTTTTTTTTCCATCCTCTAAGCTCTTAAGCCCTGTTTTTTTATAACTCATTCTTTGATAATTCGTGGATTGGATCCTTTGGATTATTGTAGTTCACAATTTTTTCTGTTTGAAAAATGCAAAGAGATCAAATAACATTTTGACTGAATACAATCAATTTGACAATTCTATCTGCAAGCACAAAATAGCAAAATTTTTGATATTTAACTAAGGCCTTGGTAGGAGGCGAATAATGAACACTGAAAACCGCTACCCTGTGACGGCATCTCTCTTCATGCTTCGAGAGATAAAGCGCCGTCAAGAGCAAGTCAACCGTGGCTATCAGTTATTGAAACGAAAGACCGAAGCCCTACGTTTGAGGGGGCGACAGGCAGCCGCAGAACTAGCTGCTACTCAAGGTGTCCTAGGACATATTCTGAGAGAAGCTTATATTTCACTTGCAGCCGTGAAGTTTACTAATGGCGAGAGCAATGCTATGGTTTTAGAAAATATCGGGGAGGTAACAGTTGAAAATTTTAAAATAATTTAAATTGTATCTATTCGATTCCCTCTTGCAAGACGCTCTTTTAATTATTAGCATTGGTTTTGACTTTTTCAAGGCTCAAGTCCGAGTACTGAGAATAAATGAAAACATATCAGGCGTGGCTACGGTCTCCCTTCAAGCTGTGGAAGACCCCACCGCCAGCGATGCTTTGCGCTACGCAGGGCTTGGAGCTGGCGGTCACCGCACCAGTGAAGCGAAAAAGGCCTTCAGAGAAGCCGTAAGGATACTGATCAAGTTTGCTTCCTTGAGGAACACCTGCATTTTGTTGGATGCAGCTATTAAAACGACTTTAAGGTGATAAAAAATTTCTTTATACCTAGCGAGTAGGTATATCTGTAGATACAAAAGTAGGCACCTATGTAGATACAAAAATCTGATGTGTTATTTCAAACCATTATAATAATAATTAATCTTTTAGTTCCTGGGGGAGGCGAGAGTCTAAAATAGATATAACAATAATAATAATAGTGTAAAATATATATAATAATAATTAATCTTTTAGGCCTAGGAAAAGGCGCTTTCGCCTCTCCCAAGGCCTAAAAGATTATAATAATAATAATAACGCAACACACTCATAGCCCCGCACTAGGGAAACCCTGTGTCGCGGATGCCATGGACACACACATAAACAACCACAAATTACACCCAAACACGCGAAATAAATAAATGTAGGCCATACACATACTTCTCCCAGCCTGGGAATCGAAATCAGGACCTCTGCGTGGCAGTCCGGCATGGTAACCGTTCGGCCACCGAAGCAGTTCTATTTGTCGTCTATGATATTTAGTCCCATGATCTTACGATTATGTAATACCAGTTAACATTGTCGTAGATTGTTCGTCCTTCCATGCAAGCAGGAATTTTATTGGTACTTAATGAAACGTAGCCAAATATTATAATAATTATTATATATTTTAAACTAATAACAACCATAATACTTGAATCGTAAACAGACATTTGTTGATAAGATGAAGATGATCTGGAATAAAAAATTTGTATTAGTAATATAACATTATGGTGTAAAGAACACCGTATTGCTGTCATCCTAGCAGAAACAAACAAAGGGCTTGTCCATAACTTTGTTGGAAAGGAACCTGTACAGCACTCGCCTTTTTTATGAGTTGTTCTTTGTTTTGACGTATGGAAACTTTCAATGTTTTTTGTTGCTTAAGATTATATATGTACCATCATCATTACTGATCTTTAGGGGTAGGGACTGATCTGATGAGGTGCATAAAAGGAGCCTCTCGGGAACGTCGTGCAATTCGTGTTCCCTTTCAACAATCTATCAATCTAACCTAACAATCGGCAAGTACATAGTTACGCCGATTGGTAAATCCTTTCACCACAGTGGCATACATGTACTACCGCAATTCAGCGGTATTTGCTCTTTTATACAGATACGTTGATACGGCAACTTCGTAGATTCGTTTTAGGCCGCAGTAAATACTGTACGCTATCGATACGAAATGAAGACGAAGGAACTGATCTTGTTTAACACCTTTTTTGGTATGTTTACAGAAAAGTAAATGGCATCGAAAAGGTGATCATGCCAAAACTACAAAATACTGAACGTTATATTTTAATGGAAATGGACGAGAGAGTAAGTTCATTTACAAGATAAGCATTTTCTCCGCAACAGCGACATTTAAACATCTTTATGATTTTAGGAGAGAGAAGAATTTCACCGCCTGAAGATGGTAAAGGCTAAGAAAATACGCACACGCGCCTTACAAGCTTTGAAACAGAGTCGCATTATTGGAGATGGTATGGAATTCAAGTTAGGTACGTTGGCAGATTTAAGGTTGCCATTAAATTTGACGACTCAACACCAGACCAGCACCACAAAGTGTAGTTCTTATAGTACTGTGGCATACAGTATATTTTAGAGATTATAGCGTAAATATTGGACCGAGGTCCGCAGCGCCCTACACATGACATTGTCTCCACATCGCATGCATATTGACCGCATGTCTACTAGGTACACGTTGATAGTTCGCTGTCACGAATTCCTAGATGTAGTTTTGTAGTTTAGTGTAGACGAACACTTTTTCCGATACAAATGGCATGATCGAAATTTTATATAACATTTACTCCGATAAAAACTTCTTACTGGCTGGAATTGTGGCAGTGCTGATTATCACCACTGACTCAATTCCAGTTTATCGTCTGGTGATGACTCGTCAAGATGGTAGACAACCATGTTTTTTTCTTTTTGCTCAACAGGTATTACCTACGTATATTCGTATTACCTGAACTATTCCTAGTAGGTAGATACATTACCAGTGTACATTATCTAGCTTCAGAGATCCCAAACGCGCCATCATCAACACGCCTTCGAACGTTGGTCATCGAGTGCGTCACAGGGATATTACATCCCGGGCCGCTCTCTACACATTCGTCATCTTCTGGTGACTTCAGGGTTCCACCCTGCTTGCCGCATAATTGGGATGATGATGATTTGCTATTTTAACCCTTATGATGGTGGAGTAACACAAGCCTGTGTGGACCATCTTAGGTCCCTTTAGCATTTTGCCAGCGCAGGTTTAAGGAATGAATTTTCCGCAGCTTCATGGAACAATTTATACGTCAAATTTCATACAGACATTGCTGTAATATGGTACTCAAACACTTTTGAAACTAAAAGCGAATTTACGACTTCCTTTATTTAATGTAACTTTAGGACTTTTGTTAACGTGCAAGTATAGATATATTTTATAGTCACATTTGTCTTGTCATAAAAAAATAATAAATTAATTTAGAATTACCCAAACATGTTTTATTGTGAAATAAATAAGGTACAAAATCTACAAAACATTTACAGGACCCATCCGTCGTCCAGGCGTTCTTCCATCGGCCTAGTAAAGTACTGACATCTTCGGAACTTCTCCAATATTTCAAACTGGGAATAAAAAAGTTTATTAAACGCAAATCAATCTTAACAAAAATCGATCTTGACGGCCTAATAATAATCGAACTTACCGGCCCAGTTTTCTGGATGGTTTCGCTGTAAAATGTTGTTGCACTGGAACCAGTCCCGTAGAGAGGATATTTTAGATGCATCTGCAAAATTGGGTCAGATTAGGGAATGTCATACGTGATTTATTTAAATCATCTGATGTTACGTCCCTAAACATCGGTACAGGGTCAAGAGCACGTCAAGCTTAGGATTAAAATTTCCTTTCGGACTGTTGGTTCCACTAGTGGGTCCAGTAGGATTTTCAAGTACTGACATCCCCACTTAGATGGTGAACCAACAATCTTAGTTTTAACAAGTAAATTTCCTTTCGGACTGTTAGTTCCACTCTTGGTTTCACTAGTGGGTCCAGCAGGATTTTCAAGTACTGATGTTCCCACTTAGATGGGTGGAACAAACGATCTTTTTTTTATAAAGTGCGTATTTGACCCCTGTCACACCTGATGGAAAGTGACGATGAGGTTGACGATGGAGCATGCGCACCTAAATAATGCCTATTCATTTTTTTTTCTATATCTATGATTCTTTCTCACCTTGAATAGGCCCAAGTTATAACGTTCAGGGAACAAGTCAGCAGGCAGGGAATTTAATTTTAACAAGTAAAGTTCTGTGCTCATTTTACTCCTGTGCCTGGGTCACTTATAACAAACTGGGTAACTTACAATAAGTACGGTCAAAAGGCCAAAATGGCAAGAGCACTATGCTCTTGTACATTATATGCTCTCAGACAATGAAGTAGGTATATACCCTTGAACCACATTGAAGTCGAAATATTAAACATACGTATCATAAAACTGTTCAAAGAGCCTTTATGGGGGGACAGCATTGATCATAAAGACGGGTTCAGGGTCACGGGCACGTCGATATTAACACAATATATTTTAGTGGCAGTATATCTCCTTGTGAAAGAGTTCGTCTAGGGAAATACTTCCACCTTACCTATTCCTGCCGCCAAGCAGTAATGTGACTATTACTGCGTTCCGGTTTTGAAGGGCAAAGGTGCTGGTGGAATTCCAGTCACATGAGACTTGTCAACTTATGTCCTAGGGCGACAGACGCAGTGGCAGTGCCCCTAGGATCATTGCGATTTAAAAGTGAGTGGCACTGCGACTGCGCTTACCACCAGGCGTACGACATGTTCGTCCCGTCACTTCTGCTTGGTATTATAAAAAAACGATTTTGCGCTTCTAATAAAAACGGTTCTATGTCCAGTGTCAAGCTTGATGTGCTTTTGATTTTAACAAGTAGATTGTTGCGTGGGGTGAAATTATTTGTGTTTTAGATATCCAAACAAGAATTGATCTACAGCGAAATGAACACGGTAATATAAAAATGCTATATAATCACAGTTTTATCCCTAGTATACTCCAAGTTGCGCGGTTCGAAGTTGTCCCGTACGTAGTTGGCATCGTACTCTGTGCAGTATTCGCTCACAGGCGACGAGAGTGCTATTTCATCCAGCATTTCCTCCAACATTTGTTCCCAAAAGAAGTCCGTCAGCATCCGCTTTCGTACACCTTTATTAAGAAAATTAGAAAGGGATCTCTTATTGTCTCTATAAATAAAATTTAATCTATAATATATATTTTGCCTCCTCTGCCTCCAAGGCCGAACGGTTACCATGCCACACAGTGGTCCCAGGTTCGATTCCTGGGCCGCGAGAAATATTTGTATGGCCTTGTAAGTCAATGTATGGCCTACATTATTTATCTCGTGAGTTTGGGTGTAATTTGTGGTGTCTATGTGTGTGTCCATGGCACCCCCGACACAGGGTTTCCCTAGTGCCGTGCGGGGCCAGCCGGGGCTATGTTGAGTGTGTGCGTTATTATTATTAGTATTATTATTTTGGTATAGATTTATACAGTGATACTCCAGCAAGTAGTGACGGTGTGAGTAGGATTTGGGACTTTAATACAATTTTTTTCAAATCGTGTGCAGATAAGATTTCATTATTATAGTTTGCTTCAATTTAAATGTAGGTACAAAAAAAAATGGTCTCGAATCCGCATTCCTGCATGTTGGAGAAGGTTTATGAATCTTTCCGACGCATCAGCAGTAGAACACGTAAGCATGGTTAGATAATGTTGGGTTGGATAATTATATTAAAATTTCATGATGAGTTTAGTTCATTGGTTAGTGAGTATTTATTTATTTATTAGGTACACCAACAGTTACTATAATATTTTAATATATTTAATTTAATTTTAATACAACAAGGTAACTAAATAGCTGAGTACTAAGTTTTAAACAGTGTTTAAAAAAGTAACAAAAATCTTAAGACCAAAAAAGAAAACTTTCTGCCCAATTGGTATTGCGGCAGAACGGAATGGAAGCGAATTTTTGTAACGATATTGTGACATAGCATTAATTGTAAGTCAATGCATAGCATAATGAAATTTATGGTCAATAGTGTAACGTACAAATTGGAAAATCTTCCGCGGAATGAAAATCTTCCGATTTTGGCTCATATCTATTGTGTACGTTACACAATTGACCACATAGTTCATTAGGCTATGTACTGTTAGACAGTGAAAGGTACCCCTTAGATTGTCAATGGTTCAATATCTATATTCTTTATGAACGTTAATTCGTTCACTCTCTTGCTCACTTCCTCTTCTCTCAGCCGGACTGCCACGTTTATCACGCGTAATATAATTCCAGATTTACTTATATTAATAATTGTGATCAGTTTAGATTATTTACTTAAGGACTATGTTTGGTGAGCATTTGTGTGAAACAAATCCAAATAAACAAATTTGCAGCAAGGCGCTATTTAATTTCAGCACACATTCCCTGCACGGTCACGTCTCGATAACTTCCACAGTTCTTGGCCTTCTTGGCCCAAGTTCTTTTAACATGTACAATATCGTTACAATTCTGTTCTATTCTGTTGCGCCGCAATAGGAAGTTTTTAAGTAGAACGCACAACATAATTCAAACACTAAATAATAAGCAATGCTAAGTGCCCGAAATAAGAAAATTAAGAACTTTGTTTCCGAAACCTAGCAGTGAGTCAACGAAATTATTCGCATGTTTGTAGCAGTGATTACAGCACGCTTGATCCGCATTGGTTATAGCGTGAAATTAGATCAAACCAACTCACTATATTTTTGTGGTGGTACATACCAGTTACCAGCTGAGGTAGTAAGTAGTAACACAGGTAGACAGTTTTCCCATAGTACTACCGGTAGTAAGACTGGTAATAAAGTGGTATGTACTCCAACTCACCTATTAAAGGTTTAAGCCTTTTCGGAATTTTGTAGGAGTCACGCATCAGACTACCCTGGCCAGGAATACCACGGCCATCCTGGAGAATCCAAGGACGGCTGTAATTCGAGTATTTTCCATAGGCCGAAGGCTCAGGTGGAACTTTAGGGTAAAGTTTGATGCGTTCGCATTGCTTTATCTTCAAAATTTCTTCCTCATCTTTGCCTTCAGGAATATCAGCTTGGGCTTCTTCATCCATCTGCTTTGGAGGTTCAAACGGGTCCATCTCTGTCGTTTCCACAAATTACTATAAAATAATATTTCGCAGTGCGTAAAAAAATATGTACGTTCTCGGAATTGATTAGTTGCTATGATACAAGCGAAGAAAATAATCGGTTTTCGTCATTGACTTACAATTATAAGTCAATGGTTTTCTTATTTAATATTTTGAATTTGCCGCCCGGAAGTAAAGGTTATTTTAAACAAAAGATTATTATTATTTTTAGCAAAGATTATGAGTAAGCTGAGTCCTGTCTACACATAGTATACTTCCTTTATTTTTTCTTTCCATCCTTTAAGGTTAATACTTACAATGTTTTAAATAAAGTTATTACGCGAATTAATGGAGAATTTTGTATTTCGTTCTAAAATCAGTTTTAAATCTATTGTTGTGTCCACAGAAGCATTAGGTCGGATTAGGTTGTATGGCGTTATGCCAAAGCCGTTAAAACTCTATTAAAAAAAATCTGATGTCAATGATTTGACATCTGATTTTCAAATCACAAAAATGGCTGAGTTTTGTCAGGTAGCCCGAAAACAGGATTTGCCTCCTCCGGGAGGCTATCAACCAATAAGATATAAAAGAAATCCAGCGAAAACATTATTTAGTGGTTTGTATATATTAAATTCCGCAATATTTTGTTTTTTGCGTTTGTTATGTAACATTGTATATAGGTTATGTTGGCATGTATTTTGTTTTAGTTTTCGGACTATTTTCTTAGTTTTGTTTTATTTTGTGACTTGTTATCTGTTATTTAAATAATTCTATAACGTTTTGACGTATGTTTCCAGGTTATGCTTTGTTTGCTGGGTTTACGGCGGTGACGATCGGTGGTTTATACTTGTACTACATAAACTACAAGAAAATCTTGAAACATGAGATTGAACTGCGTTCGAGTAAAATGGCAATATACCCAATGCTGCTGGCTGAGAGAGACAGAGAATACTTGAAGCAGCTGCGCAGGAACCGCGACGCGGAGAGAGAGCTCATGAAAGATGTCAAAGGATGGGAGGTAGGAAATGTCATATTATACACAAATAGTCTCAATTGCAAAACGTCAAACGCGCAAATCGACAGCCTCGCACGTAGAATGGAATGTGGGTTATGTAAATGGCCCGATACACATTTTGTCAGTAGGTCTTAAGTAAGTTAGTGTGTAAGACAAACTTGCTGCACAAGGCGTTATGCAGATGATCAGGCTTCCCAATTTTTAGACGTGTTTAAGGGCTGTATAGATATGATGACCAGTAAGCTAAAACATTATAGTTTAATCATCTCTAGATTGCATCTGTAAAAATATTAAAAAACAATGTTTTTAAAAAAAATATTTTAGGTTTATTTACAGAATGTAAACAATATTAATTGCAGCTATTGTTGGGTAATTTTGTGAAAAATTTCAAATTTGAAAATTTGAAAATTTTTTTAGAAACATCTGAAAAATTGGATATACAGGGTGTAAATTTGAGACGGGGCAGCAAGGCCAGCTACATTAATCATTGTACAGGAAAACGGTTCTAGAAGACTATCCATGAATTTTCAAGAAGTTTTTCGCAATTTCTGATATTTCGAGTAGTCCCATAGAGACAATAATCCTTACCACTGGATCGATTGGCATAAAAGTTTTGTAAAAATTGCCTTCTATCTTGCTGACTGTACCATTTTTTCAAAACCTGTGAATGCCAATCAAAATATGTTCAAAATTCATGGATCGGTTTTCAGGAACCGTTTTCCTGTAACAACAACGATTAAGGTTTGCTGGCCTTGCTGCCCTATATCAAATTTACACCCTGTATATAATTCAAAAACTCATAATAATGTTCTTCGTTTTCAAATATCTTTTGAAGATTAATTTATTGTGAATTATAAAATAAACTGTATAGCTAAAAGCTAGTTAGAGATGAACGAGATTTAAAATGACTGGACAACAGCAAAAAATGAGGTAAATAAAAAATCTTTATAATGGCTCCATTGTTTTTGTGCAGTGAAGATACTGAATCAACAACAACTATCGAATGTGGAAAAAATATTTAGAAATATAACTTTTTCAAAATGGAAAATTTTCCAAAGTAAACAATTTCTTTTTATTTTGTCAAAAGTAAAGCTATGATGAGTTTTAACCTGAGAAGGCATACTTTAAAAACTAATGGTCACTCTAAAATAAGGCCAATTTAATAAATATGTCAAGTTATTATTCTTCAAATCACATTTTTTTTAAATGTTTTTAATCTTCATACAATTAGCATGATGTAAATTGAACTGTGCTCTTTACAGGTAGGCACTTACTATGGAGAACGTGTTTACAAGCTCATCCCCCCTGACCAGCTGGTGGAACCAATATTCCATGAGTACTATGCTCACTGCGACCCCAAAGCTTGGTTCCAGAGAGCCTACATCAAGCTGAGGAGTTAAATACTTATTTGACATGCTTGCTGGGGTCACAATGTGAATACAATACATGGAAGTTATTTAGTGAAGACTGTTATGTAACAGTTGCCGCAACTAACATGAAGTGTGAATACTTTGTGGTATTTGATGTAAAGAAATCTATATTGACTGTCAACTACATGGCTATTGAGTGGGTAACTTTGGACAGCCCAATATTAACGTGACCCCAGCATTATTTGCCATTTGCAGTTACGCATTTTCATATAAATTACAACTGCAGGCTAACCATGTAAGGGGAAGGATAGCCTGGTGTCATTGACGTTGTTTTTCCCTTACGCCAGCTAATTTCAAAAACCAAATAGGTGTTATATAGAAAAATCGTACAGTGAAAATTACTGCAAGTGGCAATTTTTTGCTTCTTTTCATTCATTAAGGTATTTTTGTTCACTGGTGTAGTCTAATTGAAACTGCTTGTCAAAACTGAGTTGAAAAGAATTGTTAATTTATGTAGTTTTATTTACTTATGAATAAAGAAATGTATAGTAACAGGATTTTTAACTATTACTGTGTAATTTTGTTAGATAATAACCCCATCTCGGTAAAGATTTATGCTTCAACTGCATCTGTGGCCGAACGGTTACTATCCGTATCCGACTGCCACGCAGAGGTCCCAGGTTCGATTCCCGGGTCGGGTGAAATATTTGTATGGCCTACATTTGCTTCTCTCGTGAGTTTGGATGTAATTTGTAGTTGTCTATGCGTGTGCATGACACCCGCGACACAGGGTTTCCCTAGTTGTGTGTGTGTGTGTGTGCGTTATTATGCGTAGTACAGCTTACAAGTGTTATTTATTACTTTAGGAATATAGAAAAACAAGGTTTTTTTTTAACAACACGTTTACTTCCACCTGTATAATATAAAAATGTAAACACAATTATAGACTGACTAATTATGTTATTTTTATATTGGAAACATAAGGAAAATTTATTTGCATGTAAACAATACTAACTTAAACTTGAGCATTTGAAACTTTATGACAAAAATAAATGCAAAGAACAAAAGACATTAGCGTTACCCTACATAAGAGCTGAAGGCTTATTCTGCCCTCGTAACGAGAAAAGGCACAACTATGCATACTTTATACAGCAGTTGTGCCTTTTTTCGTTCCGAGGCAGTATTCCCAGTTAAGCATGACAACTGGGAATAAGCAGAGCTGAATTCATTTTTATATGTCCTTTGTTATAATGTTTAAGACAGCATTATCTGCAGATACTTCTCTTCACTTGCCGAGATACGTAACGAGAAAGGAACGTATCTATTCCTTTCACTTCTCTTAACGAGTAATGACGTCTACAAGCAGTTGCATAGATGCAGTGTCGATTTTTGTCTACTTAAAAATATCATATTTAATTAACACACGCAAATCATTTCCTTAGCTCGTCGCGGTACTTAGAATTTACAAAATACGTATCAATAAATTGTTGCGTTCATCGTGCTCCGACGATTAGCCCTGCTGATTCCGAGTAGGTCCAATTTGGGAAACTACCTTTTCTAAGAGTTATTTCAGTTGCTGTGGTTGAGACCAAATAATTAGTGCGGTTTAAGTGTCGAATATATTTTGTATTGAATGTGAATGTGAAGCTAGAGCAGCAGCGCCTACTTTTTTTACATCGCATGCAATGCAATAACGATGCGTAGAAGCTGTGATTACTTCGAAGTAACAGAAATAATAACTTCGGAGTTTATGATAATGCTCGAAATTTGTAATTAATTATTAGAGAATATTTTATCGAACCATCTTGTACTTACCCTTTGGGTTTAACATTGATTTATATCGACGGTGGAAAGGAAGAATCACTGATGCGATATTTTGGACGAAATTTATATATATGTATAGAAGTTACATATCATATATTGTTGAAATTAGGCGTTTTTCTGCTGATGTCGGTTAAAGTACCGTAGAATTTTTTGTCAGTTTTAAATGTATGCGACAACCTTTATTAGTAAGATATGTCACTAAACATGGCATTTCCCCATAAACTTAACGGCTTAAAGTATTTTTAAAACACTTGGTTTCAATGTACTATTAATGTAATGTCATTGTTTTTTCTAAGCACGTTTTATTCAAGTAATTTATGAGAGAAGTTACTTGAACGTTTCTTCTGGGAAGCTTAATAGTGACAGTTGTCGATTAAATGAGCGTAAAAAATAAACAACCATATTATATTTATTCCTATGAGCAACAGTCGTAAGACAAAAACAAAATGCATCTAAAAATCTTTGTCACGTTTAGATGCAATGATTATTTTATGTCAAAGATATAAAATGTGTTTGTGGCAACACTGAGCTACGCTCTTTCTCTGCCTTCAGGCAAAGTGCTATATAAAACAAAACAAAAATAAATAATGAATATAGTTAAAACTTATCGTTTTCGTATTAAAATTATATCAATAATAATAATAATAATAATGACATGGTGCCGAATATAATTATTATGTTTAAATTAAAAAGCTACTATGACGACAATTACCCGTGTAATACTAGTAGTTCTGCTGGTGGTACCACGGGCAATAAAGGGTAGGTATAAATATCCCTGATTCAAAGCAGTCATACTAAAACGTTTCTTTGCCAAATTGAAAAACCTAACATATTAAAAACACTTCTGTTTAATTCATTAGAAAATTTCATCTGACTGTTTTTGCTTCAATCAATATTCCGGGTATGGCTTGGCCATAGGATGTCGTTTCATTGGTCTCTTCGAGACTATATTTCGCGTTATGGCGTCGCATCAAAGTTTCTTTCGGGAACGTAGTTAATGCTATTCAAATTCTAAAAAACACTTTCATAGAACTCATCTCTGTAAAATTCTACATTCTCTAAAAAACAAGTTACGATTTTATTTCTTAAACGAAAAAAAAGCTTTAAAACGCTCTACTATAACATTCACAAAATGTCGCTTCAGTGATTCTTTCTTTCCGCAGTCGAAAAAACAAAGGTTTAAACACAAATAGTTTGATTTGGAGTAATTCAACAGAAACCATTATCTTAATTCCATGTGTGACTTATTCCAGCCTGACCATAGTCGATTTACCCTTAGAGAGAGACCTTTAGAGGTCGAATATTTTCTTCAAATTTAAATGGGACCACTTCTGAGGTACCCTCTTTCCAACAAAAAAAAAGGATCATCAAAATCGGTTCACAAATGGCGCGTAACATACATACAAAAAAGTCGAATGGAGAACCTCCTCCTTTTTTAAGTCGGTTAAAAATGGTGCCGCCGGAATAAGCTCATTTCAACGTGGACAGTAAAACATCCTTATAACTTCAAAATGGCATCATGACAACTAAATCTAGTTTTTTACAATTAGAACCGACTAAATCACGACTTTTTAAAAGTAAATTTAATTTAGGTGTCGTGATTCTCGAGATTGGGGAATGGTACAGTTGGAATACGTTTATTCCAGAGTGGACGGTAAAAAACACCCTTACAACTTTTGAACGGCGACTAAATCTAGTTTTTTGCGACTAGAACCGACTGAACGGCGACTTTTTACCAAACTAGTCGAAACTTCAAAGACTCAACCATGGTCACGCTGGAATAAGATACGCTAATTCTATGAAGGATAAATAAACACAACGTGGAGTTAGTAAACTAAAAAGAAAATCAATATGTGCCCCCAATCTTGTTATATTCTAACACATAATGCCAAAACCCTAACTGTTTGTAATAACAAAATATACGTGTATACTTATACTTGCCGCACTTTACAGAGTACAAAACGAAGTCGTAGTATTGTAATAATTTATCCTATTTAGACTTTTTAATGACAATCTTTGGCTTCAGTTTCACTGTACGCAGTTTGTGCATGTGTTTCATAACAAAATACATACCGGGGAATGTAATTAGTAGTAAATAGATTCTAAGGAAACTTGGCATATGGAACGCAAAATTCCATTCGTTCGGAAGTGCAATTGTAAATTTTTGCGTTTCTTCGAAGTATGGAATGTTTCTCAGGATGACGATAGATTCGCAAAGAATGCCCAAAGGATAAAGAGGGATCCACAGTGTATAACGTAACCAGGTAAGTATGTATATTTCCTTCTTGTATAGTTGAGAAATGTAGAACGGATACCTGTAATTTGGAAGAAATGTAATTAGTGCACATTTTTTTCTAAATTCATCTACTTCTATTCTGGCCTGCTGAACATTTCCCGGAAAGTGCCTTTGTAGTTTCACTTCTAGTCAAGAGCTGATAGGCATTAATGAATACTTACTAAACTGGTTTTGTGCCTTAACCATCTAACTTGAAAATCATAGTAATGTTCAATGAGAAATTACAAAGTCTAATAATGTTTTAAACTCTTTCCTGGTCTTAAGGACTTAAGATATAGCGAATGGATTTCTAATGGTACAGGAACATATCGCACACGAAATAAATACTGTCGTAACTCAAAATTGTGGAATTGAGAAATACAAAAATACTGAATGAAACCAATGTACATATTTATTTATATTGGTTTGTGGTCCATTCAGTATTTTTTTAAATGTTTTCTAAATTCCAAGTTTGAGTTACGACAGTATTTGGTGTCATGTACGATTTGTCTTTACTTTTTTTTCGTTTCTGGGCTTCTTTAATCTATGACTAATTTAATACCAGGAGAAAATAAATACCTGACAATTTCAATGAAGCTCCAAACAAGAAAGAGATAGAAGACCACAGGTTTCGTTTGCATTCGAGGTTCCGCCTCTATCATGGCGAATAGAACGAATGCTCTACCGCTTACTTGCATAAATGGGACTAACACACCACCCTGGAATATCACACATATAATGGACTAATATACCACTATGTGAGCCTATAATATGCCACATCATTGGTAGGCCTAATTCGAATGAAGACACTTGTTACCCATCTTCAGGATTTCTCATTCGAGAAGGTTGTGCCTACTTATGTAGACATAATCTTATTTAGCACAACTTACAGTGTAGAACAGTTTTAATATTCACAAGGGTTAGATTGTTCACCTGCAGGGTCACAGTGCGCGAAGAACAATGGTAGAATGAATAATGATAATGACGGACAACAACCTGTTATGAAATTAGTTTCAAGGATTGATAACTTATATAATTATTGTATATTGGAAAAGGATGTGGAAATGTTACGGTTATATTGAGTAGGAACGAAACAAAGTGGGAATACAGCTGAAGTCTTTTGCTTAGTCCCCGGTATCAGTGCGGCAACGGGAGGGCGGGCAAAGTGGAGTAAGGAGATAACCCTACAGTGGCAAAGAAACAGTTACAGAAACATGGACATTCTGTAGCGAGATGGATAGACATCATCATCAAAACTGCAAGCCGTGCTGGATACTATCACTGCATTGAGCAGAAATAGCTGAAATTTATATTAAAAACACATCTACCACTTTGCTTTGGTTGATAATGGGCCTAGGTGGGATTTAGCTACATTAGTGAACTATAGTGACGGACTAAAGGACTCACCCTGGTGTACCCAAACAATGGATGCATGACTTCCAAGTACTGTAATAGTTGAAGAAACTTCATAGCAGATCCTACATGTTCATATGTGTCAGGCACTGAAGCATACTCCAGCTTAGTGTAGCGTACAGCCATTACAGTCAGTACGTACATGAAGCCAATCCATTGGAAAAGATTGTAGATTATTAGGTACACTTTTTTCAAATCTTCTGGAAACAAAAATATATATATATTTTCTGCCATATTCAGACAATTTATTAGTGTGAACAATAATTATTTCCTTATAGAATTTCGTTTTTTTTTGTTTCAAAGGGAGTAAAATAAAGAAAAAAATTACCTTTCCTATATCCAAATTCTTCTTTGTGCAATTTGTCATACATTCCAGGGTAATCCTTCATGACGTCGCGTTTCTCCTCGTCACTGTCTTGCGCATCCTCCGACTTCCATAGGTCAAAGTTTATCTATAAGTAACAGAGCAGGATGAGACTCTTAATAAAAAATTTTAAATCAATATTGGAGAAGCTTCAGCAGAGTTCAATGTCATCATAAGCCAGCAAAGGGTCATAGTACAGGTTTTTCACGCAAATGCCTTATCCCTTCTGTTTGAACACAAATGAAACCATAGAAGATACAAGGAAACTTCTTAGGACCCTAATGGGTCCTGAGTATTTTTGTTTGTGACAACAATTTTGGCATGGTCAATTTTTTGGTCAAGCGTCTGTTGTCCATAAAAATGTTTAGTGTTGACTGACTCATTTTTACGTAAGGTTCATTTAATTGTATGGGAGGAAAAAATCGGAACAGCTGAAGTTGGTAAAATTTAATAAAATGCTTTTTCATACAAACTGAATAAAATTTACTAATGTTTTTTTTAATGCTGATAGACTTAGTTTCTTATAAGAATGATTTTTTTGTAAATTTAAAAGGGAATTGGGACAGCAGAAGTTGGTGAAATTTAATAAAATGTTATTCATTGCGTATGAATTTTTTAATTAAATAAATAAAACAGCCGGGCTCCAATGGGATTGGGCGGGCCATGTTAGCCAGATACAACCTGAGAAGTTGGTGAAAGTCGTCACATCTTGGGTGCCTAAGGATGGAAAGATCCAATGTGGAGAGACGAGAAGGAAGATCTTGATGGGTTTGAGAGAGAGTGGTGGGAGATCATCAAAAACAGGGAGCAATGGAGGATTTTGGGGGAGACCTTTGCCCACCAGTGGATCATAATAGGTTAATAATAAAAAAATTAAATTTGAATAAGTAGTGATTATTTTTCTAAAGTTGTTTATATTTCTGAGTCCATTGCTAGCTCACATAATTACTTGTCTCTTCTCTTTGGCCAGCCATAGAATATATATAGAATCAATCAGAAGTAACATTATTATGCTCAGAATGCCAGAATTGAAAATGTTTAAGAAGATGCTGCATAGTTATGCCTGCTGAACATCTTAAGGTATTGAATACCAAAGATGTTGAATTATTACTGAGTCAACAGCAATTATTAATTAAAAGCCCAAAACAGATAAGAGTGGAGAAAGTGGGATGTACCAAGTACATAGTAGGATGTAACAACTATTTAAATAAAATAAAATATGTATACCTTGAGCCATGCAGGTTTCTGCGGCTGGGCAGTGAGTCGAGGCCACCAGGATGCTTTGTTCTTGTGCAACACCAGCTCTACACGGTTGTCAAACACTCGTACGGGTACTGGATCCCCGTCATTTGAATCACTCTGTCACATAATGTAAATGAATGTACACATATTAATATTACAATGTTCTATATAAATATATTCTATCAAATGCTATAACTAAAAGTGAATTTTATTATTAGTTTAGGACCAATGTCCTACATCATACATCATTATTATGGCAGTTAAAAAACACTAGAGATGAAATTTATTCAGAAGTCGAAGGTACGGTCAGATGTGTAAATGGCAATGAAAGCAATTGAAAAGTGCACTCAAAACATATTGAAAGCACAGATTTTGAGCACTTCCAAGAAATTTCGTAAACTACACTTGTTTCTATATATATATATATTCTATATATAGTTTTATGTCAAAGTTAGAAGTGTTAACAAGAACATAACTAGATAAAACTTTCAAAGTAACTTATGAGGAAGGAGATACCAGATTACAGCGTTAGATCATGAAACTTCCTCGAAACTCATTTTTCACAGGATAGAAGTACCGGTAAGGAAAATATCATATAATTCGCATCTTACGGACTTAACTGGCGAGAACAAGTCCAAGGAGAATTGGTAAAGACTCTGGCCATGTGCTCCGATTCCCTGGGCTGAGAATTTAATAGTATTTTCGAGAACCTTCACATCTGGTTCTGAGACATTTTTCAAGTCTATCTTCAAACTCACGACACGCTCAGTTTGCGCCCAGTAAACGAATGGGCTTGGTATAACCATTATGGTAATACGTTAACCGTCCATCAAATTAGATAATAAATAACAAAAACAATAAGAATAAGACGTTTTGTCACTTTTACTTAGATTATTTTGCTCAAATCCAAATTGGCGAAATCGTCTTTCCTTCCCATTGACTAAGTCAATGTTCCTTCCTCTCAATTTCAATAATCGTATCGAATCGATTTCATAGTTTCAAACGGCAAGCTGAGCTAACAGTAAATTAATCGATTTTATTGGTGATTGAAAAATTATGTGATGGATGACTGATGATTGACCACTTATTGACCATTATGGTTATCGATGACAAATGAATGAACCTTAGAGATTTTGAAAAATAATGAGCAATAATTTATTCTATGTTATGAAAAGTCGTATGTCCATTTCAAAATATTATTTAATTTCTTTCCTTCTTACAACACCATGTAATCGATTTCTTCTAAAATTGATTAACAGCTCGGTGGTTATAAATGGCAACATTTGAAAATGATAATAATGGCAATATGTTTAGTGGTGATGTTTGTAATGTAAACTAAAAATATCGACTCTATCGATTTCAAGTTCATCGCGCTAAATACTATTTGAGGTAATTTATCGTTTAGAAAACAAATAACCGCAACAGAAGAGGGAACTTTTCTTGCCAAAGAAAAAGTAGAAAAGAAACCTTTACTTTGTAAATGAATACCTTTACTTTGTAAAATAATAATAAATACTTACAGTGTACAGCGACATAACATTCTTGTTAGATAATTGAAACAAACAATCACAGACAAAGAACAAAAACAAACTACTTATGGTTATCTTAAGTTAATTACTCGTAAGTTAATTGTCTCAATAATATTGCTGGATTATTATCTGTCTAAAAGCAAACATATAAACTAAACAGCTTCAAGTTTAAAAAAATGTTACAAAAGATATTATTTCTTTACATTCAATTAACTTTACCAATATAATATAATATAATAGGTTGAGTATAAACAGCAGTTTAAATCTTAACATGATTTTAACACATTAAGCGTGATACATAGCTTAGTGGGAACTGATAAAAAAACATTAATGTAATTTTATCTTCCTGACCACTTATCTTAAATATTAAAAGTGAGTTCAAGTCAAATCCAACTGTAAAATAAATTCTTTGACCTTCTTCTTTCTCTATTTAATTACTTCAATTTCAACTTTCACGATTTTCATTTACTGTTTGTTTCTTTTTGTTTGATCTAAAAAATCGAGACTTTATCGTGTATAAAACAAATGACTGTCCCTTCGAGACCGTGGACGTTGCATGACGTCCGAAAAGTATACAGCAATAAAATATGTTCTTATACACGTTTAATCCAGATTTTAAAATCAAATAATAAAATTACTTGAAGACAATGTGATGGAACCTTTTAGTATTAATCGAGTCGATAATCTTTTCGTTATTTCTGACAGACATCTCTATTTTTTTTTTCTTTTCAGCTGTCAAAAAGCCGTTCGTTGCTCTATTGATGGGTGTCGTTGCTGTAAAAATTCTATTTTATCGGTACTCTTTGCGGTTCATTCTCTCTCTATTCAACTGAAAATGGTTTAATTAAAATCCGACAACGTAAATTAAATCCAGTGTCTATACGGTGACTCTCGTAACTTTGTAAACAAATCCAAAATGTCCGTTCCCACTACAGGGCTGAGCAAGTTGAAAAAGAAACATATTCGTGTGAAACATCAAAAAGTGAAATTGTTCCGTGCTAATGAACCGTTACTATCCGTTTTTATGTGGGGTGTGAATCACACGGTAAATATTATATTTTTTGTTATACATGTGACTAAGATAGCAAGTGAAGAGTAGTGAACCCGCGGGTTCGCGAGCCTAATCGCATTTGAGCTGATCATTGCTGAGTATCTTGCAATAGTATTATGTCATATCCAGTCCGGCTGGATTGTTGTGGTTTCGTATTGTTTACTTTTGCTTGTCAATAATTTGCAAATATAAAATTTGGGTGCGATTTCTGGCACACAATCAATTCTTATTAGTATTATCGCATTGACATTGAGTATATAAATAGTAAACATGTGTTTGTTTATTATTAACAAGTACCCATGTACTGCCAGTACATGGGTACTTGTTAACAAACTTGACATTTCATAATTTAAGGCTATAATTTGTATTTTATTGCATGTAATCAAGTTTTAAGCACAGAGTGTAATACATGATTTTTTTTAGATTAACGAGCTAAGTCATGTGTCAATACCAGTCATGCTGCTGCCTGATGACTTCAGAGCGTACTCCAAACTCAAAGTTGATAATCACTTGTTTAACAAGTAAGTAATGCTTTTAGAACTTTACAAATGGCGAAAGATGTGTGTCAGGACTGTAGCAAGTGGAAGACTGTTTTTTCTGCCTACCCCGATGGGAAAAAAGCGTGAAGTGTAGTCATTGGGTTGATAACCAGAAAAAGAGACGAAATAAGGGCAATCCATCCCTGGTAACTCATAAAATAAATAAATGTAAATGTAGAGGTAAATGGGCCTTAGATCACTTTTAAATATCAACTCTCGTTTGCACTGAAATCACATATTAGAAAACTGAAATATTACAGCACCAACAACTGACCTGTGTGTACGTCTCCGTATATTGCAGTAATATTCTGTATGTATTGTAATAAAGATAATATCTCTAACAATGTGGGTTGTTCCATTTGTTGGTGTAGAAAAACAGCAAAATATCTAATTACAAAACAAACCAGATCATATTTCATTAGTAATTAAATATGTAATTTTGCAATTTTCATCCATTATAGCAAAGCTCAAATTAAATTGATCGATTTGAAGTGAATTGTGAATTTTTTCGAATTGGGGCTGGCCATTCGGAGCACAGTTGTCACGGTAATGATTTGGCAGAATAGATTTCAAACAAATTAAATGAAATTTCGTCTCTATTTCTGGTTATATACTGGAGGAGTATAGAACAAAGGTTCCCCCTAATAAAAATATCTTTCTGCACACACTATGAGCTATGTTAATAATATAATAATAAAGTGCCAGATAATCATTCCAATGATCCTGTATTTTGACTACCAGAGTAATCAAACTCCCTAAAGGGCACTGCCCAGAATCGTCACATCAGAACCAATTTGAATTTTTTATTTGAATTTCTCTGTTATCTAATTTCCTTTTAATTCATAAATTCGATTTAGTAAAAAATGCATATTATAATAATTAAGTAGTGTTACTTGGAATATGTTTTGGTACACAAATAATGGTAGTTAAATTGATAATTTTTGTAATTCTGTAGTGCAGAATAGAGAGGTTTTCATAAATATTAGATAAACAGGTTGATTAGCAAACATCATTGCAGTCAGACATGACCAAAAGATGCCATGGTTTGTTGTGAAAAAAAAAAACTTGATTTAGACCCAAATAAAATAGTCTCATTTCCAATGCAAACGCAATAAACTAAGAACTCAGTTTGGAAAGGTTTTTTTCCACATCAGCCCTACTAGGAAATCAAACTTGAGATCTCCTACTTAGCACCTACAGTGCAAATTGTTGGGCAGGTTAACAACCTGACCTTTCCTAAAAAAAATTTTCAAGCAGAGGTTGGATCAGTAGATCCGTGCTCAACAGTGGCTTGGAGATAAGCTGAACAGTTCAGATTATTTTTAAATATCTAAGTTTAGAATTTGTAGATTAATTGTTGTTTATTACTCACCTACTATGTTACATATTTATCTTGGCAGTGACCCAACAACGATGATCTGATTGATTAAAATTTCTTACAATTTTGTATGTATTTGTATAATTTGCTAAAGTATAAGTATAAAAAAAAAACTATTTATAGAAGTAATGTAGTACCTATTACTTAATACACTTAAACACAAATTCCCTTGACCTTGTTTAGCTGAATTGCAATTTCATGATAATTATTCAATTATCATTTGCTAAAGGAACTAATGTAAATGCTTTTGTGTATCCTGTACCTGTAGGTTTGCTTATTTATATAATATATTCAGAGTCTGCCGTGACCTGAAAGGGCCCGAAAATTTGATTTGTTTGCAGAAACAAATTTACGTGATTTAAATCAGAAAAAATAGTTTAATTTCCAATGTGTAATAATCGCGAAAACACTGACTGTTTTAATATATATATTAAAACAGTCAGTCAATGTACGAAATAAATTGTTTATATAAACATTATATTAACTGTACAGAACAAACTAAACACTGCCCTATTAGTAGATGAATATCATAACTTCACAAAGATTATCCCATACTCTCGTCACACTACATTCAGAAAAATAATTCATCAAAAGAAATTTGTACTGCCTAAATTCAATAATTATTATGGAAAAAGAAATTGGAACTATTTGTCACTTGCATTAATGAATAAAATGAGTGAGGAATTTATATGTAATTAATCAAAACAACATATGTTTGCTATAAATCATACACTAAGTAAAATTGTTTAAAAACTGAAGATATAAACTATATTTTGTAATTTGCTTCATTGTTATTATATTAGTATGTAAGTTAGCATGTTTTTGTACCTTCTTGATGTAATTAAGTTAGTTTTTGTGTAATATGATGGGACACCAGTCTTTTTATCTGTTGTTTTTGCTCCATTATATTATTACTTAAATTACTCCTTCACCGTGGATAAAGCCGCAAAGGCTTTTGCGAGCGATGCTTGCAATCAGTAATTAAGTATTTTTTCTGTATTTTGATCAATAAAAGGAAAAATAAATAAAAACAAACTTGGTCTAGGTATTCTATACAATGTCGAACGTGCATTACGCAATATATATATACATTGCCATTAATATATACATTAATTAAAAGTTGAGCAGTTGAGACATGTTACATTATAAAACTAAACTAAAGTTTCATAAATAGGCTTACTTAAAACTGAGTGCATTTTTGTGAAAATATCTAATTGCTTTTGGGCCAGTGTGGTGGACTATAAACTTATAAGACTAATTCTTCATCCTTTAAGGCGGCAACGGGGCTTATTTGGACTCATAATACTCTACCTTATGTCGTCATCAATATTATATTATAACTATAATATATTACTATTGTGTAAAGGTATGTTTCAAAATGCAATATAGTGCAATTTTATTGGGGAACAGTAGGCCTAGCACGACGAGACTCGACATGCGAGAGAGCGACATACAGCGCGAGATAATGTCTTGCGTAGACAATAGTAATGTCTCGCGCAAGTCGCAGCCGGTCGTGCTAGGACTACAGAAATTGTAAATGTTACAAGCATTGATTGCATCTAAATTGAACTCGTCATTCGTGCAGATAAAGTAGAATTTACATTCAGTGTTGATTTGTTTTTGTAATAATAGCAATTCAATTACCATTATAATTGGTATCCTGTCCCTATTTTATTTTATTGTACGGCAATAAAATTGTGCTACTACCTATGTATATGAAATATACTTCTTTACAGGAAAATACGTAGGTTTTTACCTCGTTAATAATATTGTTAATGAACGAAAACCGCATGAGAGACTTGTATAACATGCAAACATTTACGATTTGCATAAAATGTTCAGTTTGGATAACTAATTTATTAAATACGCGCCAAAAATCTCTTTAGTTATAGATGGTCAAAGGCTTTCCCAGCACCAATGAAAGTAACGGGCACTAGTTAGATCACTAATGAATCGAATTGTAGGCGGTCTTAAGACCCATCTGCACAGTCGACCTTCACTGCAAGTCAATTTTCGCAAGCCAAGCTCGCGGCTTGCACGTTGTGCAATTTTCCCACACGACAGTCTCTCATAAACAAATGCTGTAACCGTTAAACTCGATAATGTAACCGGACCTTGTGGAAGACAAGGACTTCCGACCCTTTTCCTATGACAAAGTGAAGTTTTGTTTGACGAATTTGTTCTCTGCAGTTTGCGGTAGCATAGAATGTAATAGATTCATTCTTCTTTCATCGTAGCAATGGCATACACTATGCTATTATGTTATAGCCATTAAATCCTCTAGCATCCAGGTCATGCAGGGCACGATGTGAGATGGACCATCGTTTGAATCGCATCACACAAACAATCTAGCTTAGGACGGTCCGAAAATCCCCACCTGAACAATTGTCTTTACTCCGGGCAACCCGAGTCTGCGGTCTATTTAAAGACTTATATATGTATATTACATATAGATCGGCCATGGCACTTCGTATTCAGGAGGAAGACTCTTAAAAGGCGAGACAAAGTTAGATTAGTACTCAGTCGCGCCAAGTTGAGTCTGCTGAGCCTTAGCTGGCTCAATACTCAGAGGACCGCGAATTTGGTCTACGCGGGCGCTCGGTAATTTTATTGAGAGGAATTTAAATGTTGTTGCATAATAAATATAATTCAGATTCGCCATTAATGTACATGAAGGCGTGGTAACTGGGCGGTTGCCGCGCGGCGGCCGCGCGAAAACTTTATTCTCGTGTAACTGGGCGCTTAGGGTAATAGGGCGACTTTAATTAGGATTACTTAGGGTGCGTTCCCGTTGTGTCGTGACGACATATAGTCGTGCAGTTTAAAGTGTCGTGGCTTGCATATTTAAATGAAGTTGTTCACATAAAGTAAAATACGATTAACTGACGTTCATGACTTTTTTGACATTACGATGACAGACTGTCGTGATAATGGGAAGAGCTAGAACGACAATCATCTGACGATAAATAAAACGTTACGATAAAGATGTGACGCCAGATATGATTATCTGATTCGTTTCAAATGATTCTGTCGTGCAAACGACAAGGCGGCTGTCGTGAACCGATAAATTGTCGCGATCTAGTGGGAACTGCTAGACATGACAGTCGTTCAAGGATAAAATAAACGTCCGCGACTCAGTCACGACAGATACTCGTGATATAGGAACAGGCTAGACACGACAGTCGTCCAACGATAAATAAAACGTTACGACGTAATGCAAACGCGCTCTTAAACGTGCAAAAAATAAAAAGAGGCAGGGCACTGCCTAGAGTGGCCAATGGAAAAAGAGGGACTGTAATTGGATAAAAATATATGGATGGATTTTTAAGCGGCAGTAGAGTTCGTTGTGAAAGATTTCGTCCAGGGAAGTACAGTCACCTTAACTGTTTCTGCCGCGAAGCAGTAATGTTAGCGTTGCTGCGTTCCGGTTGGGTGCTGGTGAAGTTACAGACACATGGGACTTGTCGACTTATGTCTCAGAGCGACAGGCGCAGTAGCAGTGCTCCTCAGATATTTGCGATTTAAATCTCTGAGTGGCATTGCAACTGTTATGGACAGGCGTGTACCTTACCAACAGGCGCACGACTCGTTCGTCCCGTCACTT